CATACGCCTTTTCAAGCATTACCGCTGACTCCAAGGATTCCATGAGAAGCAACAAAGTGTGGCATTTGGAATATTGTAGGTCATGATGAATTCTATCAGGTTCCAAGGATTCCAAAAGATTGTAAAGTGAGAAGCCATGCACCCTTTCCACCTCCCGAAAACCCCTATGGTCTCCATAGGCCTTTTCAAGCATTACCGCTGACTCCAAGGATTCCATGAGAGGCAACAAACTCCGGCACTTGGAATATTGTAGATCATGATGAATTCTATTAGATTCCAAGGATTCCAAAAGATTGTAAAGTGAGCACCCATGCACCTTTGGACCTCCCGAAAACCCCTATGGTCTCCATACGCCTTTTCAAGCATTACCGCTGACTCCAAGGATTCCATGAGAGGCAACAAAGTGTGGCATGTGGAATATTGTAGATCATTATGAATTCTATCAGATTCCAAGGATTCCAAAAGATTGTAAAGTGAGAAGCCATGAACCGTTGGACGTCCCGGAGACCCGTATGGTCTGCATAGACCTTTTGAGTCATTACCAAGCATTCCAAGGATTCCTTGAGAGGAAACAAAGTATGGCATTTGGAATATTGTCGATGATGATGAATTCTATTAGATTCCAAGGATTCCAAAAGATTGTAAAGTGAGAACCCATGCAACTTTGGACCTTCCGAACACCCGTATGGTCTCCATGGGCCTTTTGAGGCATTAGCAAGCTTTCCAAGGATTCCAGTAGAGGAAACAAATTGTGGCATTGCGAATATTTTAGATCATGATGAATTCTGTTTGATTCGAAGGATTCCAAAAGATTGTAAAGTGGGAACGCTTGCAACTTTGGACGTCTTGAAAACCGCTATGGTCTCCATAGGCCTTTTGAGGCATTACCAAGCATTCCAAGGATTCCATGAGAGGAAATAAATTGTGGCATTTCGAATATTGTAGATCATGATGAATTCTATTAGATTCCAAGGATTCCAAAAGATTGTGAAGTGAGAACCCATGCAAGTGTGGACTTCCGTAAAACCCCTATGGTCTCGATAGGTATTTTGCAGCATTGCCAAGGCTTCCAAGGATTGTATGAGAGGCAACAGAGTGTGGCATTTGGAATATTGAAGATCATGATGAATTCTATCCGATTCCAAGGATTCCAAAGGATTGTGAAGTGGGAACCGATGCAATGGTGGGCCTTCCGAAAATCCCTATGTTCTCGATAGTATTTTGAAGCATTGGCAAGGCTTCCAAGGATTCCATGAGAGGCAGCAAAGTGTAGCATTTGGAATATTTTAGATCAGGAGGAATTCTATCCGATTCCAAGGATTCCAAACGATCCTAAAGTGAGAACCCATGCAACAAGGGACATCCGTAAAACCCCTGTGGTCTCCACAGGTATTTTGACGCATTGCCGCGGCTTCCATGTCCTCCATGAGAGGAAAGAAAGTCTGGCATTTGAAATATTATAGATCATGATGAATTCTATCGGATCCCAAGGATTCCAAAAGATCCTAAAGTGAGATCCTGTATGTGCCAATAGGCCTATAATCTTATTTGATATGTTTTGTTTCTCAGTGCGTTCTTGTATCATCAATGGTACATAGTTCTCACTACGTGTTTGTCTTATCTATCGTTGATTGAACCGTGTTCTCTTTCTATTATAATGTGCTTCTCATTCTATATCATCAGTCACACTTATATTTTGTGCATTGTCCTCGGTTATGTATTGATACTGTATTGTTGATTTATATCTCTTCTCTCCTTGGCCTTGTTATTGTGCACTCTTATATTGTAATCTCCTTAGCCTCATCACTTGTTTATTCTTACAGTTTTCTCCTTGGTCTAACCATCTTTATTGTCATCATCTCTTATTCTACTTGTGTATATGAACGTGTGCTTTATATGTAAACGGGACGATTGTATGATATGAAGAAATTGAATAAAGTGTAATACCATCAACACTAGTCTAACTTCTATCGTTGATCATCACATAACGATTAAATGATGGGATGGGTTAGAATTAAGTGTATCATCACCATCTCTCACCTTCGCTCTCAGTCTTTCCACCTTCATCATCAGTTTTTCGTTACACTAGGCAACTATGGACTTCCGTAAAACCCCTATGGTATCCTTCGCTGCTTTGAGGCATTACCAAGGATTCCAAGGATTCCATGATAGGAAACAAAGTCTGGCATTTGGAATATGATTGAACATGATGAATTCTATCAGATTCCAAGGATTCCAAAAGATCGTAAAGTGAGAACCCATGCAACTGTGGACTTCCGTAAAACTCCTATGGTCTCCATATGCCTCCTGAGGCATTACCAAGGATTCCAAGGCTTCCATGAGAGGGCACGAAGTCTGGCATTTCGAATATTGTAGATCATGATGACTTCTACTAGATTCGAAGGATTCCAAAAAGTTGTGAAGTGAGAACCCATGCAACGATGGACTTCCGTAAAACCCAAGGGGGAAACAGCGTACTTGAAGTAGAAAAGTAGCCCAAAGTAGAAAAGTAACTTCAAGTAACTTCAAGTAGCTGGAAGTAGCTTAAAGTTGAACAAAGTATGGAGAAGTAGCTCCAAATATATTTAAAGTATCATGAAGTACGTTGAAGTGCTGATAAAGTGTTGAAAAGTGCATTAAAGTATCATTGAAGTATCGCAAAAGTACTTCAAAGTCCTGTTAAAGTACCACAAATTACTTTGAAGTGCCATTAACGTATTCAAAAGTACTTTCAAGTACATCCAGTTATCGAGAAGTGCGTACATGGGCTTGAAAATATCTTGTAAAAGCTGAAACTTAAATACATAGAATTACTTAGGGGTACCAAAGGTAGTGGTAGTGACACTTTAATACCTCATAGTAAGCTTGATAAAACT